GGGGACGGCCGGAGGAGGAGGAGGGAGGGGCGGTGGGAGGGGAGGAGGGAGGATGAAGGAGGCGGGATGGAGGGAGTACCTCGGTGGAGAGGAGCAGCGCGGCGGCGGGTGATGGAACCGGCGCAGGCGAGAGTGAGAGGGAGAGTGAGTGAGAGGGTCGGGCGCGTGTAGGATAAGGTAATTCAGTAGTAGCCCGTTTTTCTAGAATGCGCTACTGCTATGGGATGTAGTAGTAGCGCTGGCCAGAGATAATCGCTACTGTTAAGTGGGGCTAGCCATCTGCGCCCAGTACACACATAGCAGCAGCGCGTTGTCGTAGCACGCGCTACTGCTAAAGTAGTAATAGTAGGGCGTTTTTTTAAACACGCTACTACTAATTAGCAGTAGCGCCCGTATTTATCCGGCGCTACTGCTAAGATGTTGTGTACAAGGTTTTCCCTAGTAGTGTGTGTGGCTTCCACTTGAATCTAATCCATATTTGTTTCACCCCCGATATATATGACAATTTACATTTCTCATAATGATATGATGATATAACAACTAAGCATAATCATCATTAATAATAAGTAGTCATCGTTATCATAATAACAAGTCATACTCATCATCATCATAGTCATCTAACAACTTCTAGTCGTTATAATAATAACAAGTCATACTCATCATCATCATAGTCATCTAACCAACCCAAGTTAATTGTTCTTAGCACATGATCATGAGTATTAGCTAGGACCTACTACCCTCTCTAAGTTAAAATAGCATAAAACAAGATAGCCCCTCACTCTTCATTATGGATAATGGACATTATTCTATCTTCAATTTGTGTGCTTTGCACAATGTTGCTTCCAAGTAGCTTCATATGATTCTTCATACATTTTTTTCATTCTTCAATTTTCATGTATTCATTGGTTTAAGAAATCTTGTATGAACATCGATGAAGCCTAAGTGAACTTGGCCGTAAGGAAATAACATTAAGGCGACCTTTCTGAAACATCAGATAAGGCACACAATCCTTCAGGATTTACTATTGAAAAACATAATAATAACGTCGTAGTTAGCAATGTAGTTTAGCTTTAGAAGAATGTATGCAAAGATGCATTGATGTCGTAATAGTAAAAAAAAATACCATGCCATCTCCATGGATGTTACCATAGTCCAACACGTGCACTAGTGGTACATATTGACCATGATGTGCAGGAGTTTCATAATTGATATTGTAATTCTCAACTTCAATAATAAATGAGATAAGATGATCTTTCTCCTCATAAGTTAATTCAGAGACATCAGTGTAGTAGGTTCTATGTAGTACCTTCCATACATTTTTTAAAGAATGGAAATAAGTTGTCAACTATTTTGAAATAAACAATATACATTACTTAATAAATATGTTTGATAAACTCACATAGAGGTAAACATGGAAGTGTATCAACATCGACCCAAATGTCGATATTATCTTCCTCAATGTCATCTTCAGGATAACCAAGATTGAAGGTGACATGCATACCCTCCTGAAAACCATACACCTTTCATAGTGCTTTCGAATTCGAGAAACCGAAATGGGAGTAGGTCACCGCATTGTA